AAAAAAAAAAAAAAAAAAAAGGAAAAAACAAAGTTATGTCTTATCGGTAATCTATCTATCTGTTGGTTTTTGTTTGATAGTTCAAGTTTCTTGTTTTTCCTTTCTCTTCTTACCCAAAATTCCTTCCTTTTTTCCTGGTTTGTTGTTGTCGTTGATGTATTTTTTTTTTGTTATTCATATGAAACATAAAAATTTCTGTTCCTTATTTTTTTTTTTTGCCTCTGTTTTATTTTTTGTTTGTTGTTTTCTTTATGATGATTTTTTTTTCTTCAACTTTAATTGACCTAACCTTTTACCTGTAAAAATTTCTGCTTCTTTTTTTTTTCAGAATTTTTATGATGAATAGCTGAAAAAAAAGCAGAAGAAAAAAAAAAAAAGAAAAGGCAAAAGGAAAGAACGAATTTTACTTAGACGAACTGTTTTTTTACCCGATCTGAGGAAACAACAACAAAAACTGCAGTGTTCAGCAAATGCAACCCACTGGAAGATTGGACGAACATCATCATCACCACCACCACCACCACCACCACCACCACCACCACCATCACCATCATCAGCAGTACCAACAGCACCATATTTTATACTGGTTTATCATTGGCCTGTCCTGCCGGATTGTTGCTGTCACAGAAGCAGCAAACAGTATTGGTAAATCATCAACCTTTGTTTGGCCGTTTTTTATTTAATTTTTTTAACCTTTTTTAAATTTCAAAACCATATAAAGTACGAATAAGCATTAGGCGAGGAGGAGAAAAAAAAGCATTAGAAATTTGTGTTCAGAAATGCCATAAAACTTTAGCACAATTAAAGAAGAAAAGGACCTCAACTTTTGAGTTTATTTATTCATTTATTTTTGCTAATTAAATAGACCACGTATTTTAAATTTACTTGAGTTTGCTTTTTTGTTGTTGTTCCTGATTGAAGAGAGTTGAATAAAGAAAAAAAAAGAAGAATTAATAATTTTAAAAACTGAATTTTTTTTTTCTTCTTACAAACTGTTATTGTTTGTTCGAATAACTGTTAGTCGGATTTTCTTTTTTCTGTTCGTTTAACCTAATTATCAATATATTTGAACTGTTGGTGAAGGAAATTTTTTGCAAAAATTTAGTACTAAATAATACTGTCACTTTCTTCCTTTCTAGCATTTCTTAGCACCACTCATAAAGTGGTGAAAAGAGAACGTGCATTTGAATTGGCGTATATTGAAGCCAATTTTGAAACAGAACAAAGGGAACAGGAAAGATTACGTAGAACTGAACTGCTAAAACAGCCGATTGAAGAGGATCCAGAAGACATTTGTAAGGAAAGATGTAACAAGAATCTTCGAGAAGGTTTAGATATGGTCAAAGTATGTGTTAACAGTCAATTTTTCATTTTTTGGCTAATACTTCTGTTTAGATTATTGTTTAATAAAAAACCAAAAAAGGGAAAGCAATTGAAACGTCCGGAAAAGGAAGTAAATAGGCAAATAAACAAATAAAATTGATACTGTTAACATTTTTATAGAATTTTGTACTGCAAATATAACCTATAAAAGAAATTTTATTGCCTTAAAAATACTGAATGACTCAAGAAAAATGAGGAAGAAAAGCGCTTCGAATTTGTTGATTTTTTTGCCGCAATCTGCTCACCACTTTCGCTATCTTACCATTTTGTTTTTTTTTTTCTTCCAATTTCAAAAACCTTGTTGTGTAATTTGAGATGACAAGCCGCAAAAACAAAAAAAAACAAAAAAAAAACAGAGCAGTAGTATCCATCTAAGCAGACAATTGACAGTCAGTAAAAGCAGTAAAATTGAAGGCACATTTGGGCTTCGGTAGTATCAGTGTACCGCCGGTGATTGATGAATTCGACCTGCTACTATATTGCCGCCTGGACATGGAACATGACCGATGCCTTCGGAAATGCGGTTTTACCGTACAGTTCAATATGCGTGATTTTGTGTGCAAAAAAAACTATGAAAAGGTTATTGATAAATTTATCTGTCATCAAAAAC